CGTGATGCCCCCTTTCTCCATGTAAGCTTTCTCATCTTCTTCATGATCTTCAACAAGAGAAAAAAGGGGTCTACATGACGCATAAAGCGGAAAAAATCACGAAGAGCTTTAGTGAGGCAGTTTTCTTATCAAGGAAAATACTATATGTCCAGCCATGATTTCCAGTGGTATAGAAAGATATAAAATCCAACCTCTTAGCTTAGTGTGTCCATCTGTGTCACAGTCGGTGCGACTATTCACGCTTAAGCGTTCTGTAAAATGACAAATTAGGATGGATAATTCTTAAAAAAAAATAAGCGGTGCCCTTAACGGAGTCCCATTGTACTTTCCAAAATAAAACGTAAATGAAATGATAACTTACTCTGACGAGCGCGGTGCGAATCACGATATTCGTTTTGTAAATGCAACGTGTTAAGGAAGATCATATGGTTTAAGCTGTACCCATTTCCCCGAACCTGTAAAAAGAAGCTGGGATATAGACATTGCAATTAGGCTTACACAGTGGGAAAATTATCAACTCACTTTAGTACCGTCGGGACCTGTGACATTGGCAGCCTCTAATCCACGCTTACCTCTGACAATGTCAAACTGGACTTCCTCTCCCGCACCAAGACTGCGCAAATGCTGCTTGATGACACGTGAATTTGCAATTGCGTTCTGATATGAACAAAACATTAAAAGGTATGAAGAACTTTTTAAAAAACTTCTACTCATGTTTTCAAAACCTTAAAAAAATATCAATGAAAGTTAGTAGATAATCACTTTATTAAAAGATCAATAAATTTCCTAGGGAAAACTAAAAAGTAGTTGCTTACCTGGTGTACAAAAATGTCGTTAGCGCTGTCACCATCACGAGCAATAAATCCGTAACGTCGATGCGCATTATACCATCTAACAATTCCCTTTACACCTGAAGAGACATTTTTTGCAATAACCACGTGGTCACCTGGTCACCTACGTACGGATCAGATACTGTTCGAATTTAACAAACATATAAACAATAAACTGCATCTGCCCGAACTGTCCAGCAACAAAGATCATAAAACTTCAAGAAACTGGTGAAACTTTATTCACCTGTCTGAACTACAGGCTTGTTCCTTTCTTCACTGATGCGACGACGTGCTTCGCTCAAACTGTCTTTTACTGATTCCTCAGTCTTCTTTTCTTCGTGATTTTCCATAACAACCGCTTAGATGACAGCTGAAAAAAAATTACCGTTAAATTTAACAAAAATAAAGAAATAAGCACTCTGAATGCTAGCAAAAATTAGCTTAAAAGAAGCAAAAAGCTTTTTACCAAAGGTATACGTTACGCAAATGTGAACATAACCAAAGTGAGGATACTCGCAGTAAAAATATTATTTTTATCTCTGTTACTGAACTTTCAGAAATGCTTAAAGTCACTCCACTCCGATTAAAAACTTGTCAACAGATCAACCATAAAAATATAAATTACGCAGGAAAAACACAGTAAGCTTGAAGAGTAGCTTACAAAGGGAGACAATAAAAGCGAGCCAAAACAAAAAATGGCATCGTACCTTCAAAACACTTATCAGGTTCTTTAAGCTATCTCAATAATCCATTCGTACACTTAGAATTATTATCCAATGTTAATTTGGGTTCCAAGAATGTCAGTTAATTTTCTTACAGCAAATTGACCGTCCTTTACACTTCTGTTTATTGAACTTTTCACAAAAGACCGCCGTTTGCTAGCAACCAACAACGGCACACTGAACTTTATAAAAATTGGTACTATTGTGCAGTGCCTGTAAAGGATTGACAAAAGAGCTTCTACTATACCCGAATCAGTGGTTTCATTGTAAAGAAAAAAACTACCTACTGAAGCAGCCACTCGATTGAGAATTAACCGAAAACAATGACTTGGGAACGGCAGGAATCAAATTCAGCATTTCTATTCGAGCAGCGCCAGATAATGGATCCCTTGGGGGTACTCCTGTGTATTCTTCTGATATACTGCATGCTTCTGGAACCTTTAGGCTATCACCAGACAGCAACATCAAAAATGAGTGCAACAGAGACCAAAATCGTTCGTTCAACAACCAAAAAACGCCTGTTCGGCAGCAATAGCAGTCAAATTAAATTTCTTTGCAGCTGCGAGACCATCTGTTGAATTTAGTTTTAGGTAATGTTTTAAAAAAAAATCTTTCTAGGTAATACTGTTTGTCAATTTTAGGATGGTAAAACTGTTTATTCCAAAGTTAAACAATATTTATTTATAATCGTGTAACAGCTCAGTTAGATAATGGCTTACAACAGAACACAAAGAGCTCAAGTAATAAATCGGTTTCAAAAGTTTACAGTACTTGACAGCAAGAAAGTTTTATATTGAGTTCTTGATCTTTTTTCAACCTGCAACTGGTTATTAGCTGCTTTTTAGAATCTGACCATTTTTCGATCTGCAACTACAGTAAAATATTGATTCAACATCTCTTCCTGAGTGCAGTAGAATGCCCTGAAAGGAAGAAAAAAATGGAAGGAATAAAAGGGGTTTATTTGTAATTGACACTTGATTTTTTGTGGTAAAAGTCTGGTCTGAAACATCGTTGGCACTCTTTTCCATTCTACACTAATGTGCCTGATGAAACAATTTAAACTGTCTTAAAAAATATTCAGGTTAGAGGTGGTGTTTAGTTTTAGAAATCTTCACTGCAAGAAATAAACCTTCAACTTTTCTTTATAAATGGTGAAATTCGCAGAAAAGTATTTCTTCCTCAAATGCCAACTGGAAAAAGCTAAACCTTGGTTTCATTAGCATAAAAAAGTAAATATTTGATTGATTAAGTGATAAACGTCGATGGTGCATTTGAAGTACATAAGATTTTTTATATACTGTTTTGGCTGGTCCGCTTTTCCCATTATTTATTCTCTCAACCGCCGTGTATCAACTAGCAGTGTCATTATTGTTCTGTAAAGATTAGACTCCCTAAAGTAGAAGCTCGATTCCTGATGCCTGAAGCAAATCAGTGAACTATTAACTTAAACTCCTCCTCGTTTGCAGACTCTTTGCAGACCTCAAGTCTGTTTCATATTTACAATTGTGGTGCTGAACGTTCATTTAGTTTCTGAAGGTTTACAGGGCAGTTTACGCGGGTAAACTATGATAAAGTCTACTGCCGACTGAGAACTAAAAATTAGCTATACAAATTTTTACAAATATTAGTCGTTTATGGACATTTATGGCTATGCTATTATCATCTTTTATTATATATCCTTTTTTGTTTTCACCTTTGTGTCCACTGATCATTCAAGGCATTTTTTGTAGTTTTTATCTGCGAGTTTCCGTATTATTAGCGTTTATCAGCAACCTTTCAGCAATTAATTTGTTGTAATTTCTCTCGACAGTTCAAAAGTTTTAATTATTGAAAAAAAATCAACTTCATTGAAGTATTGCCAAAAGATAAAAGTTTAAAAATTTTGCTTTAGCAATTGCTTTCTTATAGTATATCGTTTCTCGTAGTTAGATACTTTTCTTTATTTGAAGTCAACAAAAATTAATTTTCAAAGCACATTTTCAAGAGTGCTGACCTGTAATTCTAGTTGTTTATTTAGTCTAAAGAACGACAATCTTATCATCTTACAATTTTTCAAATATTTAAACGCACAGCCAACACTTAACTGCTGCGAGACAAATGAACGTTTAAAAGAAGTGTCTAATCACAGGAATAACTGTGATTTGATTTTTAAGTTCTAATAAGCGATACTGATAATTAGTAATGTTTTATTACCACTAAATTACTTTGAACAGAATACTTGTCAGTAGTATAGTTCAGAAACTAAATTTTTCAAGGCGATATTTTATTTTGAATTTTGATAATCTTAAATCAATGTATAGAGTACAACTGCGTAAAGTAAATTTTTAAGGACAACTTCGTTTTGCTTGTACACAATTTTAAGAATTATCATAAACTTTTGTTGTTTATACGTCATAAAAAATTTGAAAATTTATATATCAACTGAAATATTATTTCACAGTGTCTTTTTTACTTTGTCTTCTAGAAGAAAAAACGAAAAATGTGAAAATATATTATTTTTTGAAAGTTCTAATATTAATATACCATTACTGTTGAGCATAGCGCTACTTCAGAGGTTTTCAGCTTCTAGTTATTTGGACTTTGACTACTGTTTATTGAACTGGACAACAACAAATAGCTAAAATTGTTGTTCAATTATAGTCTAAAAAAATGTTTAGTTCTTTGGTTGGAAATTACAAAAAATTTTTACTGTTTTTTCTTTTCTGTTCGTAATAAATGTATTCAATTTTTTGCTTTAAACAAGGAACAAAGCATTCAGTGTTGTGAACTGAATCAAAATTTATGGTACACTGTGCGGTTGAATGTTGGAGCTTTATCTGATTTTCTTTTGGCAGAATGTTCTAACTGTAGGTAATATTAGCAGATTATTCCTGCAATACTTCACCAAAAATTTTGATTCTGTAAGAGAACAAACCTAATTTGTTGATATTTTAAACCGCATAAAATGCTTTGGTTTTTTTCTTTACTTAGACTGAGATTATGAATTACAGCAAAAAAAACTTTTAAGTTCTTTGCCAAAGAAAACATAAATTAGATTACTAAACTTATCATATATTTATTATGATGTTGGACAGCATAAAGTAAATTGACTAATAATTCTACCTGTTATTTGTTATTCTTAAAATGGTAAATCATTTTTGGTTGTCAAAAAATACAACACATTTTAGTTTTTCTTATTCTCGCTGATAGTTCTTTTTAACAATCAAGTAGTTTTAGCTTGCAGAATCGACACAGATTTAAATCTCAATGAATTATCAGATACGACGTTGATATCTCTTCAACTTTCAAATGTGTTATTTTGAGTGAATGCGTTGCTGATCAAGTTCAAAAAATAATACTTTGAAGAAATAGATTGAATTCTATATTAAATTTAAAAAAAAGTTTTTTATCATATTTATTTGCAGAGTTTGGTAAAAGTTTTGCAAAGTGGTTCGTTAAAGTTGCGTGGCATACTTGGTGGTCCAGGTAAATAGTTTTTTGTTTGGCTTTTTATTAAACTAATCTAATCAATCGTATTATGCATATTTCATATTTAATACTAAAAAATCCTTTTATTTTTTGAAATATCTAATCTGTTGTACATTTCAGTAAACTTTAAAAAACTTTCCTTTAATGGTTTGATCTACAATTTAAATTCAAGCATTCAAACTTGATTGAACTAAGAAGCAAGTCTCTTCAAGATTACTACATTAATAAATTGACCCAATCATCTAAATAAATTCCTTTTGGCTATCGATTCTCTGCATTGTTTGATACTTTCTTTTGAATAATATATCTGATGCCCAAAGAAGCGCATTTTTTTACCTGTTACCTTTTATTTAGCCTTTTTTAATTGATGATACCTTGACAATTTGTTTCTCAATTCCCTTACTTTGCTTTTACAACTGTAATAGAACGTGCGCTGTCAGACCGGCCTTTGAAGCA